GAACATTGTTCATGCAAAATACCTTGAAAACAGAGGAACCTGTGAGAACAGATCTGTGTGGGAGAAGCTTCACATTATTCAAAATAAAGTAAGAGGAACCTTTATTTGYATCATGTTATACTTGTACTTTTACTTTGTCAAGAAGTGAACAACTGATTATAATTATTTTATTGTCTCTAGGATATTGACAGACATGTTTTATATGAACTGACAGGTCATTAAATAGTTGCTGACTCTTATAGGTGGAATGGAATCAAAGCCATTAAATTACCTCAAGAACATCCCTTTGGTTCAACGTCTAAAAAAATGGGAGGATTTTAATATTGACGTAATATTCTGACATGATAAATTATATGAAATACTTTCTTAAAACAGTTGCTGGACAAGGTGGAATGTTACAGCTAAGAAAAACAGACTTTTTTGTATTTATTCAGGCACTATTTGAGAAAGTGCCTTTTGTACAACAATTAACTACTTTAGTTAATTGTTGTACAAAATGTGTTCACAGTGTGGGTTTTTAAGGATTCGAAGAATTCTTCATCATGGACGCATAGATGAGCTCAACTCACAGCAAAATGCTGTAAAATCTATTAAYTGTTTTGTATTTGTGCACATTGTTGTTTTTCAAATGATTTCTGAATGAAATGAACCAACTGGTGTACATCCTGTCCATTAAAAAAAACATATACAATAATAATAAAATAAAATGATCAATTTTATAAGCTCATGTAGCAGATTAGATCACCAATGATTACGTTGAATACCTAAATTATGCATCATTTTAAAATACTATTGCAGCTTTGTTGTCTTCAGAACAGGAATCAGCCTCTAACTGGGATTTACCTCCACTCTGTGGTGAGAAAATGTAAATACAGATTTTAGTACTTGACACCAGAATGTGCTTATTCCAAAAGAGGGCAGCAAAAAGCTACTCTGTGCGAAGCTCATATTATATTATTTTATAATTTTTCTTTAGAGAATCTTTGGAATTATTTTCCATTACATGACTTTATTATATATTTTAAACCCTCAGGCGTAGATGTGGTGCAGATCTTTGGTGCAGTTATTTTATGTCTTGTTGAAGTCTTTTCTGTTATATGAAATTTTACCTCAGATAACATTATTTTAGTTTAGTTCATTATTTTTATTTGTCCTCAACCAATAGTTTTGATTTCTATTGCATATTTCTTTGTTATTTTTTATTTGCATCTTTAGAAACAAGTCTTGTGATGCTCACGCTGAAAATGACACGAGAGAAAACAAAAAGCAACTGAAAATTGGACAAATAACCTGTATTGAAAATGTGAAGTAGCGTTTGTGATTGTAATAGTAAAGGTAATAATTTATGTTATGAATCAATTTTTATTTATAAAGAAACAAAAAGGAATGTAAAAAAGGAATATATGCCCTTTAAAATCATCACCATTATCATAGATATTCTAATATAACAGTTAAAATAATAATCACAAACCTGCTTTAATTCTTACAATATTTGAATTAAATATCTGTGGTTTGAACACTAATGCAGATTTTTAAAGAGCAAATAAACAAAAACAACTGTTATTAACACACAAAGACAAACAACGTGAATGTGAGATCAAACTAAACCTTTAATCCTCCACTCCTCTGTGAACTTTCACTTTTTATTCCACTTCAGTCGGTGCAGAGCAGAGGAAATAAAATAAATAAACAGGTGATTAGACTGGCAGGATGTCAGGATACTACACATGACCCCACTTGACCCCTCGCGACCCCTGTCACATGTAATCATGTGACCAYAGCAGCAAAACTCACAGCACCCTGTGGTCCTGACAGCATCCAGACCTGATCATCGATTTTATTATAAAACTACAACCGGATTTAAAGAGAAGCAGATTTACTGAAATGAGCACATTGGTGTAGWATTAAACATTGTAATATAAGTTTTAGCATCATAAGTTGGCAGCAATAAAAAGCTATAGGGTTATTTAGCAACTGTGGCCATGAGAGAACATTTTATTTCAGGGTTTAATTCAACTGAGGAGAGTTAGAAAAAAATAAATAACTTTAGCRTTTCTTGTGATTTGTCAACGTGCCAAAGACTTTTTCATCCCATCCTGTTAACATTCTGCCGTCGCTCGTTACCGTTCATGTTGCTCGGCAGACAAAAACAGAGACACACAAACAGATTTTGTTACACGTGACCAAGAAGCCAAAGCAGACTGCTGCAACAGTTGTAATTGTGTGTTTGGATTGTCAGCAGCATTTTTATGCTGGTCATTCTGAGCAGAAACCTCATACTGTATACGCCTTCATTATTCTTAGAGGCAGGTGGAAAAATTGGAGGAAAAAGTAAATTTGCATCAAGTCGAGGTTGAGCGGAGGAACTGGTTCAGAGTTTGACTCGACTGTAAATAACAGCTGTGCATCTCCTGAAAATCTTTACTGTCTTCAGTTCAGTTGTAGTTCAAGAAGCCACACTGTTTACTTTGATTGAGGGGGGGGGGGATAATTTTCTCAAGCTAAAACGTAGCTCTCACTTTACTTTCTTTTCTTTAAAACTAAAATGAGAAAGATTGAAGAGCGATGTCACATGCAATTTTTTTTATGATTTATTTTAATTTTTTTTTTCAAAAGCAGGAATTATAGCACTGTTTTCATTGCATGTTTACAATGACCATGAAATCAGTTAACTCATCAACTGGGTAAAATTGTT